AATTGATGATTTATTAAAAAAATTACCAAAAACATTTTTTCTACATTTTTAAATTAAATTATTTGATTAAATTAAGATGTAGACTAAATAATAAGTCTACATTAGTTTACACAGTAGACGTTAATGTAAGTCTACCTAGTTGTAGACTTCTTTCTTAAAGTGTAGACCTACGAAGGACAGAATCGTAAAATATACTGCATGTTTTTTGTTTATTCATAAGGGTTAAATAGTAGTTTTAACACCCCTTTAGGTTGGGTTTGCAATTGATTGAATAAGGGGTGCACCTTTAGGGTTAAAATGAATATTTGGGTTGCTTTTGGCAATTCCTCCAATTTTAAATATATGCCTATGAAGGCCGGTCTGTATATATCGGACATTCATAATGCTCTAATGTTGCAAAACCATAATTAATTTATCTTAGAGTACCCAATATAGTTTAATTTTTATTTGTGAAAAATATTTTGAGCACTAATACGTGATACCATCTGTTGTAGCTTAATTTTTGGCGGTTTGTACCAACTTTTCTTCTCGTAATTAAATAATTCGGTGTGCGTGTAAAACTTCTAAATGGAATGACAAATACTGAGACTGTAACAAACAAATTACGAATCTAGCTAATATGTTACGTGGATTGATTACGACCACACTAGCCAGAAAATTGGAAATATTCAAACTATCATTCCGTGTAAATTGTAAGGAGATGAATAAGAACGTATTTAACTAGCACTTTGTTTTGCATAAAACTACAAATACTAACAACTACGATAAGAGCTGCGTCTTGCGCAGGGTGAATATATATAATTAAAATATAAAATTTTAGTATTGATAAATTTAAAATTTACCTATCATTGTTTTTATATGTATTTGGAATTTTAGAACTTTTGTATAATTATCAATACGTAGGATCAGAAACAATTGTAACTAGAACTGTACATCAAATCTTAGAATTTACTGGATCCGATTTCATATATCTTTTCACTTTTCAGTGTTCAAGAGATGGAAAATAAATGGAGTGTCACTGGGCTTGATTGGTAGAGTATTAGCAAGTTCCCTAATATTTTTTTAAGAAGCAGTTGGTAAAATATTTGCATTTAAAATATATAAATTTTCAAAACTCATCTAATTTAATTTATTTCTTTGTCTAATAATATTAGAAAATTTTCATTTTGACAAAAAAAATTTAAAAAAACAAATTTTATAAAAAATTAAGGTAAATTTTAAATTATTTTTTAAACAATATTTTAATTTTTGAAAATAAAAATAAAGAACTTAAAATTAATTATGGTCATGATTTAACATAAACATAATGATTTAAAAAATTAAAAATTTAAAAATTAACAAATTAAAAATTAATTATGGTTATGAGAAGTTTACGTTCACGTGTCAATCTTATTTATCTTCAATTTTTTCTCTTGTTATGTTTTTTTTATATTTGGTTATTACTCTTTATACATATTTATTTTGAAATTTATTCTCATTTCGTTTGTTTGTTTTGAACTGTAATTTAGAAAATACTTAAGATTTCAAATAATTAAAGAGATACATACTTAGGTTAAGATATGCACTTTATGCACAATAAATATTTTATATTTATTATTTATTTTATATTTTTCTGCATAATATAAAATAATAAACTTATATATATATATATATATATTAAATAACTAAGAAATCAGTTACTATTATGTAATAAATTGGCGTATGCACATAAATTTAACTATCATTCTTCTTTATTCGCAATTAGGGTAAATAAATCAAAATAATCAATCTTATATATTGTATATGATATATAATTAAATTTAAATGGTATAAACATAGTAATATAGCACACTTTTAATATGAATATTTATTAAATGAGGTTTCTACTCATATGATTATTTGTATATTTGTGTAACAAAACTTTACACCAACGAATTTTTTTAATGTGAGATGTTTAGTAATTTCAATAATTTATAATCATTTCAAAAAAAACAATGACATATTTCAAAATTAAAATATTAACTTCTATCTTATTAAAACTGTAGTACCCATTAGGTTTGTTTGGAAACTTATATAGTAGTAATAAAGAGTTTAATGTTGTTCGGCTATAAGTTTAATAGAATTGGGCTTTTAAACATTGTTATAAAAGAATTGGGCTTTTGTTTAATTTATTTTATGTTATGGTTAGACTTTGATCATTTGGTCCATTGTAGTACTTTGTGTGTTTTAATTTATATTTTATATAAAGACCATATCCAATTTTATTTGTTGTTGACTAAATTAAAAATAACATCAGTTTTTAAGATAATAACAAATTGCATTTCAAATAATTTAATACTCAAATATATTTTATCTAAAGTATTTTATATTATTCAAATTATCATAAAGACACAAAATACTTGAATAGTTTTAACTAAAATATTAAATTTTTGTTTTCGTAACTGGATATTTATCCGAAACACCTCTCCTTCCCCAAAATTAGTTTTACCCTGATTAATCTAAAATTAACCCTAGAAATCGTAACCAAACCGTTATCATAATGGAACCAAAAATTTATCTGCTATTAGTTGGTTATTATAATTGTTTCCAAACCCAACTCCAACCAAAAGAATCGAACCGGACGCAAATAAATTTATATAGATAACTGAACATATTTTATATCTCTAGAACTAAAAAAACTAAGAACATAAAGAATCCAACAAAAGCTGAACCCAAAATCAAACCTCAGTCCTATTACATTCAATACGATCACAGTTTCTGAAACACGGTAATAACCGATGACTTATGAGTATATTATGATTTCCCAAATTAAATTAAACATGCGTTGGTGCACGGATCAAGATCTAGTTTCTATATATGTTCAAGGCAAATATCAAAATATAAGTATGTATTTTCATACAATGTATAGTTTAATAAAAACGACATGAAATATATATAAACTAAAATTATTTCTTCATATGGTCTTATAATCATTATATTTTAATATAGAAAAAAATGAAAACTTTGAACTTAAACGTTTATATGGGACTTTTAACAGTTTTAGTAATTTATACTCATTTTGAAAAATTTGAAATACAACATACACAAAAAAAATCTAGATTTTTATTATATGATTAATGTAACTGTGTAATTTATTTTAATAATGAAGAAATAAACAAAATGAGAAAAAATATACAGATTGTTATCAAATCTTTATTGTTTAAAATCATTAATTGTCATATATATATTTTAATCACATTAGGTAATTCCGTAGGTTTATTTAATGAAAGCATACGAAACAATAAATATTTGATATATGCAATCAACGATAGCCTACGAAATATTATATTGCTAGAGAGTATAATTTTTATACTATACATTATATCACATGCTTTAGAATCCTTGGGATTTGAAATAGAAGCCAAAGAACTAGGATTGGGGTTATTTTTAATTCTTACAAACTTAAGGTTACAATTTTTTAAATGATTCTCAATTAATATATAGGGGATAAGAGTTGAATAAAACGTTTAGTATCTATCCAATGATACTAATGCCAAAAAGGAAGAAATGCATGCATGTACACATACTTTTGACCAAATAAAACCAATTTTTTACACTCAAATTGTTTTATATCCTTAGATCACCATTAACAGTGGTTCTTAAATGACTCTTAAACCCAAAATTTAATTAAAAAAAAAAAATTTTAAAATTTGCTGAGAGGTGGGTTTCAAAAAACCTTACCGAAGAACCACCTCTTATTTCGCCTCTTGCGTCGTATTCACCTCTTCTTCAGATGAAACTGCTTCTAAATTCTTTTCCGACCTTCCATCTCACGGCTTCTTAGCTTCCTCCACTGTCGTCTCCTTCAACCCGGTAATGTTAACAAAGTTTCCGCCTTTCTTCTGTAAAAAGTGATTGGCTTTTCATATGCTTCTTCAATTTTAGTTCCTTTAGATAACTTACCTATGGAGGATGTTACAATGAAGGATGCTGAGCTACATGAAGAAATCTGCGATAAGTTTCTCTGCTGCGTTTGCCTGTAAGCCTCACCTCTTAACATTGCTTTAATCATTAGTTTAATTTATTTGATTAGGGTTTTTTGTATTTTGTGTCGGGAATTACAGCATTGGGCCGCTTCTTTGGCCGCTGGTTTGCTTCTTATGTTTCTCGTAACGATCAATTTCACATATCCAATGCCCTTATAGATTGAATTGGATCTGAGTCTTGTGACCAATCATGTTTCCTTTCTTCTTCATCAGTCTATGATCGTGTTTGTTATCCCCATCAAGTTTGCACTGCTCTTTAAAATTGGAAATGTTCTCACTATTGGAAGGTATGTTTTGCCTGAACGTCGTGTCCGACGAGAACTTGCTGTTTTTGTCTTTAGAACATTTGTTTGCGATTTCAGTTCATGAGTACAATTGGTTTTGAATGGTTCTTGTGTGCTCATTTCTCTCAATACCGTTCCCCTATTGTGTGTTTATGATGAATTTACGGTTACATGTTTACTGGGAGATTACTACGACCTTGACGTTGTTGTTTTTCTTTGGCAGCACAGCCTTCCTCATGGGACCTGAGCAACAGATAAACATGATGTTGGATCTTGTTCATATCTACGCTACCTTTATCTATGCCGGATGTGTCCTTCTTGCACTCATTTGCGCTCTCTTGGTAACTTCTTCCTCTCTCTGTCTCTCATACAATGTTTAGTTCCAAAACTAGATCTAAGGTTAGTAATCTCCAAAGTCTGCAACTTGTTGTCTCATTCATTCTGTCTCATTCAAAGTCTATATCTTTATATGATATAAATGCAACAGAGTAAACGAAAATTCAATTGTTTCATGTATTTGTTAAAGGTATATAAACATGCACTCAGCAAGAAGAGATTCATATACTTTTATATATAGAGAAAGAAAGAACTATTGATATGTTGATTGACTACTAAAAATATATATCTAATGAGATATGCTCATATATTATTCTCGTGTATGAACTTTTAACTTTGAAAAAGGTTCAAATTGCTGAGTTTTTCTTTCTTTGGTTCTCATATGTTTTTCCAGATTCGATGTTACGGGCTACGTGACTGGCTTTGGTCATCCAGACTGGGTCAGATCCCATGAAACTGCTTCTTCATCATTTCCTGTGGTTTCTACTCTCGTTGAAGATGGTGCCACTTGCCTTGGAAAAACTGCTGTTGATCAACTTGCCATTAGGTTTGTCTCTCTCTCTCTCTTTCAGTTACCTATATATCGAATTTCAGAAAGGGACATGTAGTTTGGGATTCCAGTGTGGAGGATGGTTTACCTTTAGGCTTCGAATGGTAAAAACAGATCAAGTGGTACAGATCAAGCGGTTCATGCAGATCAAGCAGGACAAGTGCAGATCAAGTGGGACAAGTGCAGATCAAGCAGATCATGCATGAGAGATGCAGATCATACAGTTTATCATAAATTATGAATTAAAAAATCAGTTCAAAACTATAGATCATATATTAAAAGAATAAAATTATACCAAATATCAAAATAAATATTTTAAATAATGTAGGATCAGCCGAAATGTTATTAAATTTTTCATAAGATGCTTGTACGTCTTCTATTTGCGTTTTAGTTGATCAAAATTATTTTTGAAGAACAGACATCTTAATATTTAATTCTTTGTTGATATTTATATATAGAAATGGAGATCAAACAGATTAAATAATTTATTATAACTTATAAATGACAAAATATGTTCAAAAATATATATCATATATTAAAATAATAAAACTTACACCAAATATCAAAACAAATATTTCACATGTTGTAGGTTCAGTCGAAATGTTTGTAAAAATTTTATTAGATGCTTGTACTTCTTCTATTTATTAATTATTTTAAAATATAAAAAAATATTAATTTTTTTTCTGCTGACATTTATGTAGAAAAATTTATATTTTTCGTGGAATATATTGTGCTTTTTTGGCAATTATACATCATGCTTATAATTTTAAAATGACACAAATAATATTAATGTGAACTATATAGCTTGAGTTAATAACTGTACATTATTTATAATAAATATCTTTTAAATTTAAGTGTTTGTAATTTGTAATAAAACTATTTATTAGTAAAAGGAAAAAAAAACGATCAACACCACCATATGTTAGCGGATGAGATCTGCATACAGATCTCCTGCTTTTTCTATTAAAAGACAAAAAAATTGAACTACATGCAGATCTCCCGCTTGAACTGCTTTTGCAAACATAAAATGATGAATGGTAAACATATTGCAGAAGAACTGCCTATTGTAAGAGAACTGCATGATCTGCCCTTGTTCTGCCTCTCCCATTCATAACCTTAGTTTGTGTTTTCTGCTTATGTAATGGGCATGATGATCCTAAGGAAGGTGAAGCGTTTAGTGTAGTATATTTTGTTGTTGCTGCTGTTTTCTATGTGTATGATTTAAGAAACATGGCTACGTTTTTTAAGTTGGAAAATCGTGTAGAATTGTTTGATGGTTTATTAGTCTTTGATTCTCTATAAAGTCTGGAGCTTTACTTGTCTTGTCTTCTTTCTTCTTTTCTTATTACCTTCAAACTGATGATGATGATTAGCTTGAGGAAAGACAAATCAAACTGATGATGATGATCTTTTTTTTTAAGAACCTCTAAATAGAAAACTAGCATTAAAGTGAAAATTAAGGTGTCTCTTAATTAGAATTCTTAATTACATTTAATTACTAAAATATTTATAAGAGACTTTAATGGAGTTTGTGAGTTAATCATGCTCTTATACGCTGAATAAAAAACAATCCCTTTACCTAAACAGAGGAAATGTGTTCGTAAGAGTTCTTAAAGGTTAAAGCTACTTAAAATGCATATAATTTAAAGAAATGCAGATTTTTTTTTTAAATGCAGATTGCTATTTTGCTTTAGTTTTATTAATAACAAAGTTGCATTGTTTGACTTGGGAAAAGTATGTCTTGAGTTGTTAAAATGCTAGTATGTGTGTTATTGTGCATATGATATCGAATTTAAACCCCTTTAACTTTAACTTTGATGAATAATGCAAAACTATAACCTGAAATAATGAAAACGAATCGAGTCAAATGTAAAAGTAATACGTCAATCATTTATATCAATATTTTTATATAATGGGATTTTTTTATAAAAGTGATATAATCTTATGTATAAATAGTAGTGCCGCTTACTGGGGAAATCACACTTTTTTTTTTTTGTAACAGAGAAAATCACTTATTCATAATTAAAACCTCAGGACTAAAGAAACTACTGAAAAAGTTAGAAGTCCACCAAGTGCAATTCAGCCGAAAGCAAAAACAAATTATTTAAAAAACTACAAGCCAGTCCCAAGTTTCTGAAGAACGTACATCTAAACCGGTTCATGTTAGTAATTACAATGGAAAAAATGAAAAAAGATCTTCATTACTTATTGATCACAAATCCAAACCAATTATAAGAAAATCAGAATTAGATATGAAGTTTTGAATATATTATGCGCCTCCAAAAAAAACTTTTTGAGAAATATAAAATCTTTTTCATTTTAATTAACAAAAGTTCAATAACCCTTTCTCGCGTTCTCAAATTCACTTTCACTCTTGAAAATATAATCCCCTATATATTAATTGAGAAACATTTGAAAAATTGTAACCTCAATTTTGTAGTAATTAAAAAAGAGTTCATGTTTACGTGTCACTCAATTAGGTAGTCAATTACATTCAATTGAAAAATAAGTAGATCCACATTCGATTTTTATATGTCGCTAGATATATTTGTTGGTCAAACTATATGATATGATATTTATGATAGAAGCATTTATGATTGTCCTGGTAGACATAATTACTATTTTATTTTTTCCTTAAATAAAAGCTACATAATTACCATAAATGACAAATATATATATATATGATAATTAATGTTTCTAATAATAAATATTTGAAAACAATTTATATCTCCTCCATCATTTTTCTTTAATTTTATATTATTAAAATAAATCAAACAATCAAATTAGCTATAAAATTAAACTTTAGATTTTTTCCGTATATGTTATATTTTGAATTAAAAAAAACAAGAATAAATGACTAAAACTATTAAAATTATTATGTTAAAAATTAAAGATCAATAGTTTAACATTTTTATTATAAAAAGATACACATGATTTTAAAACCATATGAGTAAAAAGTATCATTCAATAATAAAAAAAAAAAATATATATATACATATAGATTAAACTATATACCATATAAGATTACATACTTATTTTAATTTCAAAATTTTCAATGAATTTTCAAGAACATTTATAAATTATAAACGTATTAAATTTTTCACATTGAAAATTTTTGTTTCAATGATTTAAATATATTAGTTCCTTTTTTTAATTTTCTATTTTTTAAAGATATTAACACAATCGATAATATGGTTATTTTTTGTATATACCATACAAACCGAATGTATGTGATTTTATAAAAACCGTAAGATTTGGATATAGTTTGATTTATAATCAATTAAACTGAAACATGTAAATATGTATATCTATTTGTTACATGAGTTGAACTATAATTATTATTTGTAAATCACTTGAAATATAATTAACTAACAATTTAATGCAACTGAGGCTTCTTATTTTCTTTGTCTCTTTTTTGATCTTTTTTTCTTTTTTTAATAAAAACTAAATTGAAGTAAAAATTATAAACTTGATGGACAACAATTAGTTTAAATTCTTTACAATTTTTTTTAATCTTTAATTAAACAAACAGAGTTGTGTTCAATCGAAGACATATTAATTTGATGAACACTAAATATGGAAGAATATAAAAACTTTTCTTTCATGCTTCTGTTTTGTTTTTATTTTTATTTTTAAAATTTAGAGATTTGATTATATATTTTAAATTTCTAAAAATCTATAAAAAATAATATATTACAAATAACTGAATAACATAAATCAAAATGCCTAAAATTAACATATAAATTAGTTTGATTTGAACATTTGGATTGTGAATCAATAATTTTTTTACAGTATTTTTGATGTTTTGAGTATACTTTAGCAATTTTAGACATGTATGTTTAACTATTTACATATATTTACAAGTATTTTGAACAACTTCAAAGTATTTTATATATATTGAATAATTTTTATATACATTAAATTTAAAAATAATTAATATATACATGTATATAAATCTCTTTAGGATATATTCGAGTACCCGAAATACTTCGGTTTGGGTTCGGTTTCGATTCTTTAAATATCAAAATTTTGAGTCCATTCGGATATTGAATCAATTTCGATTCGGATTCGATACTATTTTTGGATTGGGTTCGGTTCGGTTTTTCGGATCCGGGTTTTTTGCCCAGCTCTACTTCGCATCATAATATTCAGGTTGAAGTTACGTATTTTTGGTTAATCAATTGTAAAAACACAATAATAATAATAATAATAATAATAATAAACAAAAGTCGCGTGTGAACGCGTGAGGAGAAGAGGAAGAAGAAAAATGTCTGAGGATCCAGAGAAGAGAGAGACATGGAGAATCCTTTGGATTGGCAAAGACAAACCCCAAGGTTTAGTGCAGTGTTCTCCTCCGTTGAGCCAAGTGACCAATACTAACATTTCTTAACATATATAAACTATATTAAATATTACAATTAAGTAAATACAAACTGAGGAACTTCGACAAACTGAATCTCGCTTGGCATTCATCGATAAACACAAACTTTACGTACCTAAGATTAATTTATTTCTCGTTATCACGTTTTCCAACTATATGATTATAAATCTCAATGAATCAATAATGTAACGTCCGAAAATTTTAATTAAACTCACATGACTATTAATTTTCTTTTCCTTTTTTACATAGCTAGAGATTTTTTCGTAGATGGTAAAACAGAAAGAACAAAAGAAACGACGGATATACTCAGGCCTCGGTCCGGGGCATAGGCAAAGGAACCGACCGCTTAGAGCACCTCGATTTTGTACAACAATTTTATATGTATATGAGGCACTATAAAATTTTTTTTATGAAAAACAGGGGCATAAATTTATAATTTAGAGTAGGACATTACAAGTTTTTTTATAAAGTTGGACCGGCCCTGCATATACTGTATGAATATTTCAAAGGTATTTGATTAAGT